CCCAATGTAGCAGATGACAGTGTCCGTGTGTGTGTTGATGTTATTGTCCTCAAACACACTCCAATCCGTAGATGCAAAGCAATCCTGCAGTGCTGAATCTGACTCCTCGCTCCATCGTTGTACTGTCCTTGTTATCGGTCTGTCCCTTTTAAGTTTCTGCTTGTAAGCAGGCAACAACAGTAGTGAGATATGGTCTGATTTGCCGAAGGGAGGGCGAGGGAGAGCCTTATATCCATTCCGGAAAGGGGAATAAACATGGTCCAGTATGTTTCCCCCGCGCGTCGGGAAGTTGATGTGTTGGTAATATTTTGGCAAAACCTTCTTCATGTTGGCGGTGTTGAAATCTCCGGCCACAACGAACGCCGCATCTGGCCGTGAAGTCTCGGTTTTATCAATAAACCCAAACAGCTGATCGAGTGCCGTGTTGTTGTCGGCGAGTGGCTGCGGCGGGATATACACTGCTGTTATCACAACAGATGTGAATTCCCTCGGCAGATGGAAGGCCCGACATGAGATCATGAGGTGCTCTAGCTGTGCGGAACAGTCCGATGAAATAATCTTCACATCTGAGCACCAGTTGTTGTTAGTCATTACACACACACCGCCTCCCTTACTTTTCCCCGAGTTTGCAGTCCGGTCCTGACGAAAAATAGAGAATCCGTCAGGGACAATAGCGGAGTCCGGGATAGCGGGGTTGAGCCAAGTCTCAGTGAGAATTAACACGTTACAGTTCTTAATGTCCCGTTGAAAAGCAATCCGGCTTCTGAGTTCATCTAGCTTATTTTCAATGGATTGAACATTAGCCAGAAGAATACTCGGAAGAGGGGGCCGATTCTCACGTTTTCTCAGTCTGACCAGCAACCCGGCCCGGCATCCTCGCTTTGTCTTCTTCTTGCGTCTCTCAGGTAGAACAGCAACAGGTAGCCATGGTGAATCTCCATTGTCTGTCGGAGGGTTAATATTGTCCACGAAGTTTCGCAATTGGAAAAGTTCCTCTCTGCTATATTGTATGGCAGAGTAGGTGCGGTCGGCTAGCATGTTGCGAACCATGTTAAAAGTAAAACGGCAAAAGTAAAAGAAATATGTACAAAATACGAAAATGGGCAAAGTTGGAGAGGAGCACAAAGACAATGCGGCCATCTTCACCGGCGCATCTGACGATCAGTAGCCTATGTCTTATCTTATCAATGACAACAACTGATCACAAAGGGGAACATTTAAAATGGCTGATAAAACCTTCTTTTTTTTTTTAAACAAAGGGGTAACACAAAGACAACCACTTAGACAAAACACAGCAAGCTAATTTCTCAACCAATATGAATATGTTGGAAGCTAACCAAGGAAAGCATCACCAAATTGATGTCGTGTACATCCCCCCATGACTTGGTAGGCTACATCCTGATTGGCTACTTCCTGTATTTAACAGCTCTGTTTGAGGGCCTGCATCATGTGCTCCGGCCTGATAACATGTCCCTCCAGCAGCAACCAGCAGCGGAGTCATCCTCAGCACTGGTAACTCAAAGAAACAGAAATGATGACAACTTTAGACAAATTTAACTGGATGTGCTCCTATTGCAAAGTCATATATGGCTATTGCCATCAAAAGTAAATAAACTACAGTATAATCTAAGAAACACTTATCTGTTTGCTAATGATTGTGCAAAAGATCAGCAAAGTCAAAGAGTAGAAAATAAACTATGATGTGTACAATTACTATAAAGTAAACAAAGGTGTTGGCCAGGTAACTCATGACAACCTTTATTTTGTGACAACCTTTATTTTGATACAAAGCGTGATCTAATTCTTACCAAACTTCAGCCTTAGCTTTATTAGATAAGAAAACAACTTGACTTTTCAAACAGAACTGCAACAGTGTTAACCCTTGTGTTATGTTCACATTTCGCACCCTTTGGTAATGTTCGGGTCAAATTGACCCGGGACATATTTCAGGGTTTAAAAAAAATATAGAACTAAATTCAACATGCACAATTCCTTATATATATTGTCTTTAACTCATTCCCCAACAATATAAATGAAATATATGATTCGTTTTTGAAAATACTCTTTGCTAGATCAAATTTAACAATGGAAGTGTCCATCGTTTTTTGTGTTAAAAATGTAATTTATGTTAAAAAAAATACACTGTAATAAAAACTAAGTTTACATTTTGCTCATGCTTTTCGAGGACAAATGTAAATGAAACATTTTTTCATTAATGTTTATTATTTTTATTCTGTCATATACTAATCAAAGCCCTGAAGGAAATCAAGCAATTTAACAGCAATTGAAACACAAGAACCATACATCCAAAAGTATTTGGATGTGAAATATATAGAGATGATGAAACATCCATATAAATGACATAGAACAGATATAAACACAAAGCAAATAAAAACAATTAACAGTCACTATTCATAAAATACAGTATATCCGAAAAATATATTGATGAAGTGACGCTGCAGAACATCATGTGAGTCAATGGGCAAGTCCGTTTAGGAAACACATGATGTACAGAACTTCTTCGTGTGTATAGCACAGATGTACTTGTTGCAGTTGCTGCATGTAGTCTGTGTCTTGGAGTCTTCCAGCAGCTGGCTGTGGGGGTCTTCTTGCGGCTGGCTGTGGGGGTCCTTCAGCGGCTGACTGTGGGGGTCTTCCAGCAGCTGGCTCTGAGTCAAGTTCATCTTCCAATTCACTGTCAAATTCTGAGTTTACCTCCACATTATCCTTATCTTCAGAAATGTCTTCCTGTTCCACTTCACCGTGTTCTTCTAATGCATTCCACTCACTCTCATCCATTAGCTCCAAGGCTCTCTGAGCAGAATATCTTTTGGCCATTTTGCTGGTAGATAATTGTAGTTCTGCACTATACCTGTAATGTGAGGTTATGTCTCTGTTTAGTCCCTCCTCCGGCGTGCAGGTGCGAGGGGGACAGTGTGAGAAAATGTAAAATGTTTATACATTTCTGGAAGATCTAAAATGTTTATAATGTTCTAGGATAGTTTTGTGTACACACTACAAAGGGTAAAGATCAAGGGAACACAGGATCAAACAGCTTCTCTATGCATACCAGTGTGTGTGTGTGTGTGTGTGTGTGTGTGTGTGTGTGTGTGTGTGTGTGTGTGTGTGTGTGTGTGTGTGTGTGTGTGTGTGTGTGTGTGTGTGTGTGTGTGTGTGTGTGTGTGTGTGTGTGTGTGTGTGTGTGTCTTTAGTTTCTGTGTGTTTTTCTCTGCCTGTCTGTCCTGGTATGGTATCCGGGTCAGATTGACCCGAACCTCTTATGAAGGACATAAATGCGGTTGGGCATTTTTTCATAAGTGGAAAAAAATAAAAACAATTCGACATGTCCTTCACAATAAATAAGCCCCGGCCATTGAGTTTCAGGTTGAACGAAAATATCCTTATATTTTTTTTTATTCATTGAAAATTGAAATCGGGTCAATTTGACCCGAACACCACACAAGAAGGTACTTACACACGTGCTAACAGGGCGTGTTGTAGAAAGAAAGACAAGACATTTAAGAAGTTTAAAGCCACCCCCGGTTTAACCTTTTTAATCCTCTTGTTTCCAGGCAGATGCAGTGAACTCCGGGATGTTTTGGTGCAGGAGGTGTCAGGGTCGACAGCCAGAAGGATTTTCCAGGAGCAGAAGCATGTTGTGTAAGAAATGTTTTATTCTTTATTCAGTATTTTATCCTAGGCTACTAATTGTCCGCCTGTCCTGCCTCTCACTGCATGTGTCACATCAGTGTCACTCTGGTTAATGAGTTTACAACCATTCAAGGTGAATCAAGTGAGAATAACTGACTAAATGTTTATTTAATCATCATGGTGGTGGGTAAAGTGGTGCACCGTACAGTGTTAAGTTAAAAGTAGGGCTACATCTCTGTTGCGGTGTTTCAGTGGTGGCAGCATGATCATTTATTTACAGCCTGTTGAAGGTCTTAGCGCCGGGACAGCACAGATGTGTCATATATAAGCAAGCTGTGACTTGCATTCTTTAAATACCAGAGTCATTGTGTTAACAAGAGAGGAAGAAAAACACAAACACAGTAACTGACTTTAACTCAAAGCTAAATTGACTAACTAGATATGCATATACAAGAAGAAAAAACAAACTTTGTGCCATTAATGTTTGAAGAAAGTTGTCCAGATGGCCTCTCATACTCATTAGCCTCAGTCTTGTGAAATAAAGGACGCATTTCCTAAAAAGAGTCCATTAAATCTACTTGCCACTTAAATGAAACTGTACTCCAGCGTGTAGGTGGCAAGATAAGTGCATGCTATGCCCTTCTTTATACGTTTTTGTTGGAAATAAAGCTGTGTAACTCGCCCCTTTGGATATTTAGTACAGCTGATGGACTACAGCTGTGAAAACATAAACATTAAGTGTGGTGTTATCACAGCTGTTAATGTGCAATGCAGGGACCACTTTTATGAATAAAAACTACAATGATGAAGAATGGTTTTGTATATTTAAAATAATACACATTTTAGAATTTGCTATTGCAGCTCCATTGCATCATTATTTTGGGAAAAACATATCTTGTTGATGCGAGTAACTAACCAAACCTTAACCTGACTATTTGATAGGGAACTACATTCAACACTGGCTGTCAGGGCTTCTTCTCAAATAGCAAATACCTCCCTTGATGCCTTCAGATCATCTGGAAATCTGATATTTTCTCCATGGATTATTTTCTTTTAATCGTAGGGTTCAATGGAAGCTTAGACACAACCTTGGAGTTGGGTAGCAGCGTGCTGCTGAAATCTAAATACCTCTTTATCAGGTTGTAGTAGAATATCTGGGTTCTGCATTTCCTGGGGTACTGTGTCAGAGTTTAGTAAGTCATCTGTCCTGTTCCTGTTGGCCTCCACCTATTGGCCTGGCTTATTATTTAACTGACCCTTCTCCCTCAGCTCTGCACACGGTTCCCCTCGCAGTTTGTTCTTAGTGTTCTTCCCTCCCCTCTTGGCAGATGTGATCTTCTCCCTCGCAGCCCTGAAAGGCTTCATATTCCTGGTGAGGAGGCACTTTATTTAAAAACTTAAATATCAAAGGTTTTCTGAGCCTTCATGGGAAAGAATCAACAGTGTTTATTCTAGAGCTGCGTTGCATCATAGCTTTGAAACAGAGCCCTTTGTCATTTTGTAAAAGTGTTGACTGCCTCACATGTCATATGTCATCTATTTGAAACCACCAGTAAACTGCTGTTAGTTCATCTTTGTCACAGATAAGAACCTCTGCAGATAAAGAACTATTGATCAGTAATTTGTTGTTTCCTCTCAGTTTCAGGGTCCTTCAATGGCTCTGTGGTATTTGAGAGAGTTATGTGAAGCTTGAGCACAGATAACATGTTTTTATCACCTTGGTAACACAAGATAGTCATTTTATGGTGGGCTGGGTTCAAGTTTAATGACTTTGTGATAGTTACATATTGAGAACCACAGTAAGCCTTTTACCTATCAACAGCCGCAGTTCCTGGTGTATGCACGCAGTGAGCAGCCTGTTGCTGAGGGCCCGAGAGGAATAAAGGTAAGATATATTATTGTAAACGAACAGGAAGCTTTATCTTAATCATTCTCGTGGTACAATGTTGACTCCAATGTAAGGTTTTACGTTTTCTGGGTTTAACTGCCTTTAATTGCAGAAAGAACTTTGTTCTTTGAGGCAGGCGACACATTCTTTTTTTATATGAATTGTTTGTGTAGAGTTTTTAAGCTGGTTAAATAATAGGCGATTCAGGCTCAGAATTGGAAAGGCTTATATTTGGCAAACTATCTTACTTGTTTTAAACACCACCGAGGACTTTATTATGTTATTAAAGGCCCCATGTCATGCTTTTCCGGTTATTACCCGTCCCCTTGTGTGTTATGAAGGTTTTTATGCATGTAAACGGTCTGCAGAGTCAAAAACCCTCAAAGTACACCCTGTAGGGAGTAAAACTCTAACACAGAAAAGACCTCCCCAAAACGCCTCGTTGGAGATTTCTCATGTTCTTCCTGGGCATCGTGACGTCTGGATACCCAGTAGCTACGCCCAGAGCTATGACGCGATACGGTCATGCGGTACCTGGAACCAAATGGACCAATCCGTGGAGCCGTTACGTTACGTCCGCGGAGCCGTTACATTAAGCCCCCGCTGATTGGTCCAAATTGACCAATCCACGGACTTCCTCACAGACACACACTCAGTGCAGGCAGCTCTGCTGATTTCTCCTCCCTGGCTGCAAGCTGATAACAGACAGTTGGGATCGCGGCGAAATTCTCTCTGCAGACCAGTGTTAATTTTGGCAGCTGTTTTTGATTTAGTCTTAGTCTTAGTCTTTAGACGAAAATGGTTATTAGTTTTAGTCACATTTTAGTCATTTCTATCCTTCATAGTTTTAGTCTAGTTTTAGTCGACGAAAACTCAAAACGTTTTAGTCTACTTTTAGTCGATGAAAAATTACATTTTAGTCAACTTTTAGTCAAAATGTTTTCTCTCTTTAAACCAATTCAGTTAGGCAAATACAGGTATCTGACATTGTAATCAAGGTGACAGCATCAAGTGTTGAAATTCGTAAAGCAACATTTCACTCTCTTAACACTTTACTTGTGTAATATCTAGGGATGGGTATCGTTAAGGTTTTCTACGGTACTACTAGTCTTATCAATACTGCTTATCGATCCGGTACTTTAACGGTATTCTTGTATTTACTTTTTGTTATTTTTTAAAGGAAAAAACTAACAAATTGTTAACCAAATTAATTGCTTTATTTAAATGTGAAATAAATGAAATATGTATAATTATGTTAAAATATTGTACTGTACTTGAGTAAAATGTTGAGGTACTTGTACTTTACTGGAGTATTTAAATGTTTTGATACTGTGTACTTCTACTCCACTACAGTTCAGAGTTAAATGGTGTACTTCTACTCCATTACATGTATTTAATACCTTTAGTTACTTTACAGATGTGGATGAATGATGTGAAATATAATCAAGTGTTAACTCAGACTTTAGTAAATTCACAAGCTACCCTGCAGTATACAAAGTCCTTCAAACTAGCTGCACCTTTACTAGCTTTGAGAACACTTTAATGATCAATCATTATAAAACATATCATATTATTCTGAAATGGACCAATCTGCACAATGACTACTTTTACTGTCGCTACTTTAAATATATTTTGATGATCATACTTTGACTTGAGGAACTCTTCCTACACTATGGTATTTTTTTACTTAGCTACAAGATCTGAGTACTTCTCCCACGTCTGCACATCTGATGTGATAACGTTACTCGTAATTGGGGCAACAGAGCTACGAGTTAAGGAAGTCGAAAATTGTGCATTTCTCCGACTGAATATGACGCCTTTTGGCCGGCTGTTTGCACAGACTACTCTACTCGTGTCAACGCGCTAACCCGAAAACATGGCAAACGAGCTTTGTCCACATCGAGTCTTGTAGAGTGTCTCTATACTCTCTGAACGTTCCGTCCCCGGCAGATCTCTGCCGCTGCAGCGTGTCTGTTAGGCCCCGCCCCCGCACACAGAGAGAGAGGGAGATCGCTCTTCTGGAGTGAAGAGAGCGGAAATAATGATATTGCAAGTTAGAAATGTAAGATGCATTTTGACAGACAAGACGGACACTTGGGGGGAAATACCCTGCATTTTGAATGTCCGATAGTCCACCATTAACACCTTAGTCCCGTCTCGTCTCGTCAACGAAAACTAAATATACATTTCGTCAAATTTTCGTTATCAAGAATCTATTTTTAGCTCGTCATCGTCTCGTCTTAGTCATGTAAAAAAGGTCGTTGACGAACATTTTTCGTCATAGTTTTCATTGACGAAATTAACACTGCTGCAGACCCATTCTCACAGCGTTTATCAACCTTTTTCTTACTCAATATCAAGCCACACTTATTGTTTTTACTTCGGCTGTGAGTTTGTGTGTGCTCAGGATGAGTTTGGCTGTGTTTCGCTGTGTATCGCTAAACAAGGAAACCACACCTCCACGGAGCTCAGCGCGATTCACAACGTCCCGACCAATCAGAGCACACTGGGCTCACAGGGAGGGTGGGGGCTGGAGCTATTGGAGCTACAACGAGCCGTTACGCACGGCCCCCCCGGTACCGGGCGGATAAACGCGTCATTTGCAGGAAACAACGTCTAAGGAATCTTAATATTTAATAAAACTATGAATGTTTTATATCCATGTAACGGGAAGAAACTCAGCTAACTGAACTTTTTAATTTTTTTTTTCAAAAAAAAACCCACAATGCTAGCACTCAGCCTCTGAATTAGCCACGAGCGAAGAAATTTAACCTAAAACGGCACTTAAACTCACAATAACTCCCTTATTACTTATCCTAGATGCACAGCCAACCACTCGTTTTTGGTGTCCTGGAGACACTGAATCTAGTGGTGCCCACCTCAACACTCAGTGATAAACATTTGCGACGCTATAAACGAAAGCGTACATCATAACATGTGGAGCTAAGTAGCTAGAAACGCTAACATGGCTTACCTTGGTCAAAACTGGTCTTCAATGGCATTAAAACGATAAAAAAAACGATGCTGCAGTTAATCCATAGGTTCATACAATGTATCTGTGACCTCTTTGAAATTATTTCTGATAATCCATAAGCAATAAAACTGCTTTTTCGGTTCCAAATGCCAGAGCTAGAAATAGCTTCACTCTGCTGGACATTTACATGCGCGCAGCCCCCACCTTTTCTCTTCACAATGAGTGTGTGTGTGGGCCTCCCCCTTCGATTCTATTGGCTCTAACGGTCAGAAAAAGGTGTCAACCATCCAAATCGACCAAGGGGGGCCAGAGATATGAAAAAAAAAACATTTTCACCCAAATCACCTCAAAGGTGGGGTGGTTTTGGCTAAACCTCTCTAAAAAGGTCAAATGTCACTTGTTTTGCATCAATCTTGATACAGGGTACTTATTATATGTTGTACTTTGGATTCCTAAAGCTTTTAGTCTACTAACCCATCATCCAAGGGTAGTTTTCACTATCTGTAAAAAATAATTTTTGGACGGACACTATAATTTACAGTTTTTTACTATGTAAAATCTGAATTTTCTTTAAAATAAAAACCATTTATATTGATTCTGACACTTCTACATCCAACTCACAGATGTAACCTTGCTTTGATAAAAGAAATTATTCATATAACCCTTTTAGAAGTTAAGTTGTAGTCATTTGTTTTGGGCATGTCATTTTCGAGCCTGAAACATGAAAAACAGGCTTGGTGCTTAACAGGTTAAAGGCAGAGAGTGAAATTCAGTGAATACACGTAGTTTACAGAGATGCTGTATGAGAAACCAATGTGAGTTTGGAAAATTGCACAATCTATTCTAGTAGACTTCAACAATGGAATTATGATCAGTGGAAATGGCCATGACATGGGACCTTTAACATCAATTTGATGAACCTACTGGCCAACAAACAGCACAGGAATCAGGGGACGAATGGATGATGCATTTTGATGGAAAAAACGATTTCTAATAACTAACTAAGCTACAGGAAAAGCAGTTCACCAATGCTGGGTGATTATGTTATTGTTACATAATGGAAAACTGAAATGCAGGTTACTCATTGTTTAGCGTTGTGCAAGAAACCACAAATGATGTGAATTTACATGGATATACAAAGTTCATCACAAAAAGCGCAAACAAGCAACCACAATGTAAATCATCTGTACGTTTCTGTAGATTGATTTCATACTTTTGCTGTGACCTTTTTAATAAAGGTAATGCAAGGCCATCAACTGTTAGCAAATACTGTACGCACCCTGCCAGCTGCAGCCCGAGGCTTGGTTACTATGATTTACATTGGCCTCTGGCAAACATCTTCCTGTTCATAACCTCCTGCTAGCTGTAGCCGAGGCACACAGCAAATGACTGAACTTCAGAAGAAGCATGCGTTGAGTTCCCAGCACTAACGTACACTACAGATGCAGCGGATCACTTCATCACAGTTAGAACATCTCAGATAAACCAAAACAATGATTCAGACAACTTACTTTAACAGAACCCTGGTGTTTTTAGAGGCTACATTATTTTAAATCTACGTTTCAACAGGTATGTATTTTATTGACAATATTTAACCATGTCTAAAACCAATGCAAGAACGACTTTTTTTAATCATTCAATCATTTGGTGTGGCATTAAAACGCTGTAGCCTGCTCCTCTGCTTGAGGATGATTTGCTACATTAGCCGCTACAAACATAACACATACATCTGTTGCCCTGAATTCACATCAGGAAGCGGTGAGAGCTGCTTTGACCCAAGCTGTTTTGATATTGTTGAGTCAAAAAAACATTTATTTGATGGGTGGCAACAAGTGTTAAGATGCAGTACCACCACCTACTGTGTTGGACTGTTGCTGTTTCTTTCAAATAATGAAAATGTCTCCCTAATGATCAACACAATCTTAAGACTCGGTTCTTCCTTTCAAAGTTTCCTGATTCCTCTCAAATGTTTTTAGTTCTTTAAAGTCATGTTGGCAAGGCAACATGACATTCTGCCCTGATTCCTCCACAGTGCTCACATAATCCTGAGGGATGTTTCCTTGAGACTTGGGGATAGTTTCACTCCCAGCTACAGCCGCACCAGCAAATCAGAATCCTAATAAGTCCTATGAGGTGTGTAACAAACTATTTCTTCCCAACTGAAACGTAAATAAAGGATACAAACCCTACATAATAAAAACAATTATTATTTAGGATACATGTTAGTATATTATTGTGGCACACTAATAGAAAAGAATGAAGTTGCCCCACAGTTGGATTTATTTTTAATTATTGGTGCTCACTTGTGTAAATTGGCGTGAACTCTTAAACTAAATTAGGCTGAAGTATGGGTTCAATGGCTCCATCTTCACAATCATTATAGGTGTCATTCTCTTTCACAATAGTTAAGACCAGTAGTACTGTAAGCCATGACTGCGTGTTAATGAGTCCCCAAATCATAGTTGTTACTTACTTTTGACATTTTTCAGCTGTTGGCCCATGCTGTAACATAACACAGAGATCCTACTCCCTGGTAATAACAATTTACAGTTTTTTTCAGTTGCTAACACAAAACAATCTCACATAAAGCATCATTATTTAAACTCATACTCAAAGAGCAAAACCTGAGCTCAAATCTCTAAAACTCTAAACACATTTTCAGCTCTGCACCCAATTTGCAATTCAACTTGGCACTTTTTGCAAAACACTGCACACGGTTCTCTAAGTAAGACACAGAAATCTGTTTGCCATTTTCAAAATACTGCCATTAAAAATGCTACACACATGAACCAATCAACAAATACACATGCCAAATGACCATAAACACCAAACTGCTTTATTGTTGACTCATTCAAGACATTTATAAAAACAACAATGGATATATGGACAGCAGCAAGAGGAAGAGGGAGGATAAGAGTGAGAGGGAGGAGGAAATGAAGTAATTTGAAGAAGTAAACCGTCAGGCTACAGGGGATGCTTCTTCTGCAGGTTGATGAGGAGCTGTAGCCAGACCCAGCTAGGTGGTACAATTCTGCCAAAGTATTTATCTCTCCTCGGTTTTTTCTTACAGTTTTTCTCGATTGCTAACACACATTTTTTTTTTTAATTACTCAGTTTCTCAGAACACTAAACACAATTCACAAAACCACACACCCAAAGTGCAAAACACCTAATTTCTCCTGCTAAATGAAGAACTGCACTCAAAACTACATAAACATTTACCGAATGCAAACTTTAGCACCAAATATAACACACTTCATTCATAATACTAGATTGTTTGACCGCCCAACTACTCACTGCTGAGCATAATCTAAAGCACTTTCATCTGTTATGGGCTATGCTCTGTACATAGAGGTTTCTGCAGAGAAAGATTGCTTGAGTTTACAGAAATACAGTAAATGAAGAAATACAAATGAGTTGTTGAAAGAAATCACATTTTATTGAAAAATAACATTGTGCAACATGCATCTCAGCACATAGTTACTATGCTTCGGATCTCTCTAAGTGTGATGGCATTGTTTGCCAAAACCCAGTTTGTAACTGCTGCTTCCTGTGCCTCATTGAAAATCCTTAGCCTTCCACCTGCACCTCTTTGTTTCTCAGTCCTTCAGATAAACAACAAAGATATACTTATAGTGGTTGGTCAGTGTCTGTGTTGTATAAAAGTAAGTCTACCACAGTCAATTGTGCAGGATTTCTGTACAGTTATAGTATGCAACATGCCAACAATTCAATTACAGTAATGAAGTAAATACGTTTCACACAACAGATATAAGCACTGATATATCATGAATTATGCAGAGCTATAAACTGGTAACCTGTTTTCAAGTCTAAGTGTCCGGATTACAGAGGCGACAGTACATCGGCTTAGATTAGGCTGAACCCTCTGTCCAGCCTCTCTCATCGTCAAACCATGGTTGATAACATTTCATTTCAGTATTCTTCTTTGTCCACGTCCTCTCCCTCCAGCTCTACCTCTCATTCTTCCTCCTCTCACTCTCACCCCACCTCTTCCTCCTCCTCTCACTCTCACCCCACCTCTTCCTCCTCCTCTCACTGACTCTCACCCCACCTCTTCCTCTTCCTCTTCCTCTTGCTCTTGCTTCCATGTTGGCTTCCATTGTTGCTGTAAGAAAGTACTCACCTGTGCTCTTTTTATAGTGCTAACATCCTGATTGATGAGCCAACAATGATGCTATCAGGTGTTTGGTCAGGTGGAACGTGTTTCTTGATCATTGGTCCATGTGTGAGGCATTTTGAATATCAGTGTTTTAAACCAGCTAACACGTGACTTTATGTCAGATTCCTGTGTCTTACGTGGAGAAACGTGTGCAGTGGTTTGCAAAAAGTGCCATGTTGATTTGCAAATTGTGTGACAAGCTGAAAAAGCTGCTCTTTGAGTGTCAGTTAAAATAATTGTGCTTTATGTATCATTTTAGTGTGTTAGCAATCGAGAAAAACTGTAAAATATTTTTTGTATTTATTTTTCCTCAAAGTTTTCCTTTCACTTTACTGTATTTGACAAAGGCATCATTTCTGTGTACACAACTGTAACTATGTGTTGTGCAGGAATGTTGCACCAATTTGTTTTGGAGAAAAACAAAAGTATAACAACTGTGTATTTGTGTTTCTGCACATATTTTGTTAGACTTTAACAAAGTTTTTATGCAGAATTCTCTACATACAGATCACCATAAAAGATGAGTGTGCTTTAGATAAAGAACCACAGTGTGTAGTTGGTTGGACAAAGTGTATTGTACTATAAGTGAAGTGTGTGTGCCATTTGGTGCAAAGGTTAGGTTTTGTGAAGTGTTTATGTAGTTTTGAGTGCAGTGCTTCATTGTGCAAGATATATGAGGTGTTTTGCACTTTGGGTGTGTGGATTTGTGAATTGTGTTAAGTGTTTTTGACCAAATATTGTTTTGTTTTAGCAATTGAAAAAAACTGTAAAGAAATCCTCCGGTCAAACGTCCTAAAGTGTTTATTCTACAAATCTAATTTTGTAGAATAAACAAAGAAAGACAAATCCTGGCTTTAATTTGTAAATGCAAAAGTTTCCATAAAAACTGAACAAAGATCAGAAAACATGTGGCTTATAAAATGGCTTAACATTTCTTCCAAATGTATTTATTCTGTTGATAATACAATATTATTTTATTTTGTGATGTGTAAATCTGGTTTGCTTTGTTTCAGATGTAACAAAATGCAGCTGCTGACAGGTTTCATTTATACAAATGTTTGCTTCCTGACAGGTATTTCATAAAGCATTTATTGTTCCTGCGCTACAAACATGACAAAGAAAACAGTAAGTTTGGCCCTGACCGTGCTGCTGTTAGTGTCAGTCGCCACATTCTTGGGGGTCTTCTATGGTGTGGGGAAGATACCGGCTGAGCATGTGTACCAGAAGGCAGCGGTGGCAGCAGACGCTGGGCCGTGTTCAGAGGTCGGCAGGTGAGAGCGCACACACTCGAACATCCTGAACGGCAGACATGTTGCTCTTCTGTACTCACACATGCATAAACACAGGCATGAAAACTGCTTGCCTTGCAAATCCATGTGAACATGTTTTATTCTTTTCCAACAAATGGTCTTAATGCTATTTGGGGTTTTCCCTTTGTCATGTGCATGTAAATGGTCTGCAAAGGCAAACATCCCAGAGTTCCCTCCAGAGGGAGTTTCTCTCCCACACACTCCCCCCTTGCCTAAAATGCCTCCATTGGACTCCTTTGTTTACTTCAGTAACATAATGACATCACTATGTAACACACGCACTTCTATTGGCTAGCGTTTATTTCAGACAGAAGGTGAGATGTGGTGCTGCAGCACAGGCAGTATGAGAAGAATAAAGCACTTTTTGAACATTAAAGCATGTAAACATGTCGCAGTAGAGGCACAACATACAAATGTCAGCCTGAAAAGGAGCATATGTCCTCTTTAAAGTCTTTACTGTCCTCTTTAAGGTCTTTACTGTCCTCTTTAAGGTCTTTACTGTCCTCTTTAAAGTCTTTACTGTCCTCTTTAAAGTCTTTACTGTCCTCTTTAAGGTCTTTACTGTCCTCTTTAAGGTCTTTAGTGCAAAAACTAATCCTCCACCCCTTCCCTTCTTGTGTTTTAATTAATTTTACCGCAGAGACATACTGATGAAAGGGGGCTCTGCAGTAGATGCCTCTATAGCTGCTTTACTGTGTGTTGGACTTATGAACGCTCACAGTATGGGCATCGGAGGAGGACTCTACCTAACCATCTACAACGCCACAACTGGTACAACTTTACTAAAACATGCCTCACCACCACTAAAGTTCCTTCTGTTTCCTTAATCACTGAAGCTGCAAACTCATACCATTTGCTCATCATCTTAATCCTAAATGTAATTCCTGATTTGTGACGTACATAGGACTGGTTGAGACGATTGACGCCAGGGAGACGGCTCCACGCAATGCAACGCAGGACATGTTTGGGAACAGTACAGATTTATCCCAGGAGGGTAATGTTTAACCGGTGCTATAAAAGAGCTGGCGGAAGTTTCAGTTAATATTATGAAAGACCTAATAGTGACAGACAAAAGAGAAAGTGCACTTACACATCTGTAGAATTCAGTCTTCTTGACTGCAAATTCATTTCTTAAAAAAAGAAAAAATCAGTTGCAAACAAATGTAAAATAGTTACAGTAGGGGAAGAATCACATTTGTATGACCTTAAAGGGTTTAGCCCATTCTATACTAATTTACCAGCACTTGCAATGGTTTGACTTGTTTGAAATGAATATATCTGCATTTTCCTTGTTCTGAGCAGTTTGTAACTTTATTGCACTTATTGTAAGTTGCTTTGGATAAAAGTGTCAGCTAAATGTAATGTGTGTAATATTTGAGAGCTCTAAACCCAGGAAAAACCACAACAGTTTGGGTCTTCCAGGTCAAATCCCACAGTAGTATTTTTACCAGTGCCCTACAAATTGTCCAAATAACTTATGAGGCAATAATTTAAATCTTAATTTCCATGGTCGGTAGGAGGGTTGTCTGTTGCTGTACCTGGAGAGATTCGAGGTTATGAAATGGCGCACAAACGACACGGCAAACTGCCTTGGAGGGACTTGTTCCAGCCGAGCATTGCTCTTGCAGTAAATGGTTTTCCTTTGGGCAGGGCACTCGCCTCTGCTCTGTCCAGCAAAAGGGAAACCATCAGAAAGGACAAAGCTCTTTGGTGAGAGGCAACCGAAGAAGCCTTGTATCATTTTATGATAACCTCAATTTAAAGCATGCTGTATTAAAATCTGCATCTTTATTGTTCTCCTTTTCAGTGAAGTGTTTTGTGGGGGAAATGGTGACATCCTGAAACAGAATGACAACATCAAATTTACCAAGCTTGCAGAAACGTACAGGAAGATAGCAGAGGAGGGTCCTAATGCTTTCTACCATGGACCACTGGCCCAGAGCCTTGTGGATGATATTCAGGCAGCAGGTAGTATTCTTATTTTTTTATTTATTTTGGGATATTGTTGATATATATAAATATATTGAATCATATTGGTTTAGACATGCTGATGTCATTGTTAGAATAAAATGCATGATAGCAGTAGCAAGTTTCCACTTTTGTCCTACATAGTAAAACAGTTTAAGTCGTTTTTTAATTTATTTTACAATCCAAAAAGTTATTTCTGCAGATTATATCATTCCTCCCTACCCACAGAGCAAAGTAATCTCACACACAAGGACATTATGGTTATCATCCTTACTGCCAAGTTTAACCCTTATCACTGAAATTCATTTGCTTAAAAGGCTTCAGGAGATATAATAAAATATGCTAACATGCACCTCTCTTGGCACAGCTCACTTCCATTTAAGGATGATTTGTTTTTCCAGCCGTGTCTTAGTGTGCATTCACAGTGTGTGTCAATCCGTGTTTAGGCGGCATCATCACAATGGAGGATCTGAAGGATTATGTGCCTGTCTTGGACGAGAACCCTTTAAGGGTGGATGTGGGGGAGTACAACATGGCTGTTCCCAATGCCCCCGCTAGCGGCCCTGTGCTCTCATTGATATTAAACATCTTGAATGGTAAGCCTTGATACTTTGTCCAAAAACGTCCTGAGTGGGAGTCCTTCACTTTACCAGTCACTCTCTCAGACTCCACTGAGGGCATGTGGCTCTACTGTACAGTACATCTACTAAATAAAAGCAATGTTGACTTTAAGTTAGCTAACTGGGTATCTAAAGCATGCACATTATAATATGTCATGAATCATGAGATGTAGCACTGAAACACTCTTTATTTCTCATATTAAATCAGGCAGAAGATGTGTGAAACTGTTATCATGCTGCAAAAACTCATGTTTTTACCGCGACCATAATTCTTCCCGTCGTACATAAATTCATGGCTCACACATATTTTCCCAGCCTAAAACGACAGTCAGATACCGATTTGAGCATTGAAGCAAATGTTGCCATTTCTTAAAATTCATACTGGTCATTAAAATGTCTTTTTGAAATGCTTTTTCAATGAGGGATGCTTGTAATGAAAGTGCGTTAGAAAGCACATACACTGTGGAATAAAGTTTGCACAGAGTATTGTGGATTTTGTCCCTCATCCCTTTTAAAAATCACATTGAAAATGATCTTTTGAAGACCAGTATAACCAGTATGAACTATAACATGACAACCTCATTTAGGAACCTGACCATTCTTTGAGGACAGACTTGGAACATATTGAACCTTTCCTTTAATGGCTTTACTGACCCCAGCCTTTCATCCAGCAGCACCAGCCATATTGAAATATGTGCTTCTGGGCAAAATATGAAAAGTTATTGGATGGCTTGCCATTACATTTAGTACAGACATTCATGCAGGGCGGTCATTAGGGCGCAATTCATTATGGTGATTTACTCGGCTGCAAGGGCAATTTTGAACTTAAATGTTGTGCTCAATGTCACTAAGACAACCTGTAATGCTGTGGTTGTGTTGGCTAAAATACAAATTCAAGAAAATCACATCAAAGAAGGAATGGTAACATTTTTTGAATGCACTCAAGACAAGATTGATACCACTAATGTAGCTTTATGCTAAGTATGATTGTCTGCTAACGCAGCCTAGCATTACGATTAGAAACAATAGGAAACAGCTTGTCTGTCAAAAGGTAATCATATATATTTTTTTGAATTAAAATGTTGGATTTTGTGCAACCTGGTCTCACCAGAATGCGTGACTTCACCACGACTCCTTAACACTGCAGTGCGTGGTGGAGTCACGAACTTTGCTACATTTACGTGTCTGCACCACACATACGTGTTTACAACCCCAATGTAAAGTGAATGAGGCTCCTTTGTCGTGGTGCACACACGCTTTTCTACAACGTTCAGCAGTGAGCTTTTATTCTATAAAACGTTTTTAAAATCTACTTTATAGCTTGTAGTAACTCACGGGAGGCTTCTTTTATTTTATTTGTATTAATAATAATTTGTATTTTTCGTCAGAATGTATTATGGTGCATTAGTTACGAATTTTTGTTCTCAAAAAACAGTGCATTGTGTGTAATACAACTGTGATTTTTATTAAATTAGTTAGTTTTTAAGGAAGGCCAGAGCTTCAGCTGTGTCAAATAGATTGTTCCCTTTAGTTAACGTTATTTAAAAGATAATTATATTCCTATTTGATCATGTCCCCTTTATTGTATTACGGACGCAGAGAGCAATGTGAGCGTCCATTCCCATTGGATAACGGAGGATTTTACACCCGGAAGTAAGTATTCTCCTTACTGTCGATTGATTTTACAGTGATATCTGCACTACTCATCAACTCAAAAACACCAGATTATCCTTGTTAATTACACAACATTGATTGGTTTAAATTGTGTACAATGCTTTTGTAATTTTCCCCTTCGATTCGGAGAAACAAATATTTGTTCAGAGTTTAGGATGGCCGAAGACACTACACTACCCAGAATCCTCAGCTATTGTTCCGCTTTGCCTCAAGCTCTGTGATTGGTTGACCTCCAACTGCATTCCATATGAAAAAAAACGTTTCGTAAAAGATAAAATCATACTTTATTCAGCAGTGCTTGCTTTACTCTTTGAAAGTCATCACATGAATGCATTGTAATGAATGGTTTGGCTGCATTAAACATTACACATCTGTCGTAGTTCTTTATTTATCTACAGAGATCGGGCCTCAGAATAGACCGGAAACTATAGAGTGGCGAAGTCCCTCCCCTTCCGGTGGACCTCCATGGGACCTTATTTCGGAAAAATTATGTATTGAAGTCAATGGAGAGAGAAAGATTATCTTTCGATCCCGTTTGAATTGTGCCACGAATTACACATATGATGTTTGTCAAGATAATTTTGCAAGTCAAAAAAAATAAAATGTGTCGTAAAACTGTGAAGTAACACATTTGTTTGTGTGAAACGCTCAATGAACTACATCTCTGGTCAACAACACACGTCACCAAGATGTCCGTCACTACTGTCTTGTCCAGTGGCGAGCCGTGAGCTTTATACCTAGGCCCTCTGACCCCCACCAATTCCCTCGAAAAAAAGAAAAAAAAAGAGTTATTACGTCACAGCGTATACTTCAGCGGAATATTAAAACAACGGCCCAGGGTGCAAAACGCATCAATGACAGCGACCTTCTACCACACAAAACAACACCTGGGAACCCCATTTGTGTTCTTTGACATTGAAAATGATATTGCATTGTGTTACTTTCGTTGCAGTTGTATGTCTTAAGTGTAATTTGGCATGCTTTTATTTTGAAGGCGAGTTCACGCTGTTGACAGGAAGTTGTTGTTGCTATGGAAACAAGAAAAGTTTCACAGCGGGCGGAACTTGTCATAAAGTCCGCGATAATAAAACCCACCCATTTAGAGGGAAGATATGATTGGTCAATTGTACTGTCATTTGACATTACTCTCTCGTTCAGTTACTATAGCGGGCCCTCTGTGAATCGCAGAGAGGGCCAGACGAGCTTCTTTCATGTAACCCTTCACATTCAACAGAGACTGAACAGGCAGATTCGAAGGATTTATTTATTTGGAAATGTTATTTTAAATACAATTAAATCAATTTTTTTCCCGTAAAACTAATGAAAAATATAACAAAAATAATATTAAAAAAATATATATTTAAAAAATATATATATTTTTTAAATGTTTTTAAATATTATTTTTTAGAATATCTTAGGCCCTCACAGAGGGCCTAGAGGGCCCTGACGGCTCGCCACTGGTCTTGTCAACAAAACGATTGACTACCCTCACTATCACCACAATGAAACATGTCCAGAAGAATGTCATGCAAAGCTGCCTGCCTGCCTTCCTTTGATTCTCTCTGAACTGCCTGGTCTTTTTAATTTCCACCATTTGTGCAGATAGCATGAAGTAGAAAAGATCGCCGATCGCAGATGCTAGCGTTAGCGTTAACATTTCTCCCCCGGGCTTAAATTGTGTATTATAGAATGATCAGTGACAGTACTCTTCAAAGGGTTCACGAAATATGACTACTACTCTTACTGTTTAACATTTTGGGTTACGTAATGTTACTTCATGTTAAGGCTAATAAAAATGACAAGGCTGTAATGCTAACTAACGTGCTAGCTACTAGCTAGGTAGCTAACTTGATCCTTTCATCAGACGGGAAGCGAAAGAACGAGCAAGACCCATTGCTGGTATGATAACAACCTGGTACTAAGCACACAGGCATCTTGTTAAAGTTATCTTATCTTAGCCAGCGCCATATAGATAGATTATATCTATATGGCGCTGATCTTAGCTATCTCTTAGTAGAGGAAAACAATTATTGCACTATTTCACTTTTTACTATTTTACTATTTTTCTTTTTGTATTTACTTGCACTATTTTTTCTGTGTATCAGTTTTATTGTGTTGCACTGTTGGAGGAGCCTGTGACCTAAGGGGGGGGGGGGGGGGGGGGGGGGGGGGGTAGGACACGTGCTAAGCACATGGTGTACTCCCATAGCTGAGGATTCTGGGTAGTGTAGTGTCTTCTGCCATCCAAAAACTCAGAAAAAATATTTGTTTCTCCGAATCGAAAGGGGAAAATACAAAAGCATTGTACACAATTTAAACCAATCAATGTTGTGTAATTAACAATAATCTGGTGTTTTTGAGTTGATGAGTAGTGCAGATATCACTGTAAATAAATTCAATCGACAGTAAGGAGAATACTTACCGGGTGTAAAATCCTCCGTTATCCAATGGGAATGGACGCTCACATTGCTCTTTGGGTCCGTAATACAATAAAGGGGACATGATCAAATAGGAATATAATTATCTTTTAAATAACGTTAACTAAAGGGAACAATCTATTTGACACAGCTGAAGCTCTGGCCTTCCTTAAAAACTAACTAATTTAATAAAAATCACAGTTGTATTACACACACAATGTTTTTTGAGAACAAAAATTGGTAAATAATGCACCATAATACATTCTGACGAAAAATACAAATTATTATGAATACAAATAAAATAAAAGAAGCCTCCCGTGAGTTACTAGCTATAAAGTAGATTTTAAAAACGTTTTATAGAATAAAAGCTCACTGCTGGACGTTGTAGAAAAGCGTGTGTGCACCACGACAAAGGAGCCTCATTCACTTTACATTGGGGTTGTTGCAATGTAGCAAAGTTCGTGACTCCACCACGCACTGCGGTGTTAAGGAGTCGTGGTGGAGTCACGCATTCTGGTGAGACCAGAGGCCTGTACTACGAAGCTGGGGCCTATACTAAGAATCAAGATTTTCGTTTAGCAAGCTAACTTCAGGGGTTTCTGGTCCTACGAAGCTGGTTCACTTTTTAGCAGGCTCGATAACTTATTCTGAACGGCTAGCCTCCGGAGCAGGACAGGTTCCAGGATAAAAGCACTGCCTGCTGACCAATCAGAGCTCAGTGTGCGGAGTTTAAAGCGATCAATTCATATGACAGGAGGAGAAAGGAAATACAGTTTAAACTGCCGTTGCAGGAAAGACGGCCGGCCAAAATCACCGACTGTGTGAACGTGAAAATGAATAGAATATCACCTCCCATCTTCAGAGCAATCTGACCGGATCAAAGTAACATTACGTACAGTCCGCGGCACTGTGAGTGCAGACGGCGATGTGTCCCATTATCATTCATATCACATGATATCACATATGTATCATATATTTCCTTATCTGAGTCAGCTTCTTGAGCCGTATCTGGCGTGCAACACTCACAGTGTCACATACTGTATGCAGAAGTATTATTTTAAGCAACACATTAAGTTGACGAAACACTCGAGTCAAATGTAATTAAAGTCAGATCCACTCGTGTCGGGGCAGCAGTGATATCATAAAACTGTTAATGAACGTATTCAAACACTTTTTCTTTTACCAGCAGTATTCACCTTGCAGCTGCAACTATGTGGCTTTTATCCTGGATAAAGTGTTTAAGTCATGAATGTTTAAAGTTTAACGTCTTCATATTTGTCTAATATTAGTTGACTTTTCATTCAGGAAATATATGACACGCTGCGCTGTCAGTACACGGCTTGTCCATGTTCGTGATTGGTCGAATGCTCCAAATACCACCCCTTTTATGTGAACGCGCACCTAACTAGATAGGACACGGCTGGCTTGAGCGATCGAGTTGATAGCCAGCGTCGTAGGACCGTTTAGCGAGAGCGTTTTTTTATTTTATTTAGTCAACCGGATAACTCAAAACATATCCAGGATATGTTGAACTAGATTCGTAGTATACCCCCCTGGCCTCAGGTTGATTTTGTGGATGAACAAATCTATCTAATAACCAACTATGAAACTGCAAATTGCCATATTCACACTTTGATTTTTGTATTTGTGGGAAGTAAGGGAATAAGCATATTTCCTAAAATCAAAGTCAAGTCAAAGTATTTATTTTACAAAAGATGTGATGGATCAGAACAACTTTATATGATGTGTTATTGTTTTGATGGAAGAACGCACTGACAAACAACATACTTTGTCTTTTAGGTATGAGGACTTAGATTGTTGATGCTTCAACAATAACAGATGGTGTCTCGAAAACAGATAAACCAATAAGCTACAGAAACAATATCTCGTTACTTCCTCCAATTTAGAGAATGAAGTTAAAACACCTGAGGGAATGACTGTGTAACCCTGACAGAAGGGCTTTTGTTTGATGGAAGTTATTAAGATCCAAAGATAATTGTGGTCTGTGTAATCACACCTGAGAGTGTGATCAGCAAAGTTTATGAGCATGTTGCCAATCTAATCATCGCTAACTTGGTCCATCATCATTTCCATCAAATAATCATAAATCATATCTGACTGGTTTTACTTTCTCTTATGTTGGCTGTTCATTGCAGAGAACTATCCATGTTGAGCACTGTCTCAAAACTTCTGTCTAAAGTAATTAATCTCTGTGAACCTTTCCTTTCCTCTGACCGGCCACCCACACACGGCGGCCCCCTGCCTCACACGCTAACACTAATCTTACCAATTTACCTCTAATTGGACACAGTCCAGTGGTGGAAACTCCACGGACACATTTCAGTGCCTTCCCAAAACGTTCATCCCGCTGATTTACTGTGACTCCTGCCTCTGTCTGACAGCTGAAACCCATCAAACTAAAAGTCTCTCTTCCCTCAGCCTCTCCTCCTGTTCCCCCTGCGGCTGTCAGCTCAGGGTAATACCCATAGTCTGGTCACAGCGGCTTTTAGACTAAATAAAAACACAGGAACAGAAACGGCTGGGTCAAATGCATTATAGCTGTCTCCTCTCCTATACCTGAACAGCATCTGAATGGAGACAGATGAGTGAAGCTGTGAAGTAAACGTGTGACTGATGATTGTTTCATTTTCTACAGGGTACAACTTCACCGCAGAAAGCGTGTCAAGCACAGAGAAGAAGATCCTAACCTACCATCGCATCGTGGAGGCTTTTCGTTTTGCGTATGCAAAGAGGACCTTACTTGGGGATCCAAAATTTCTCAACATCACAGATGTAAGGTCTTGGTATCTGCTTAAAACAGTTAAAGGGTTGGTTTTAGGTTCTGTGGTAATTTAGTGTATTTCCCCTCTTGGCTAATCGGGTTGTGATGACCCCCTTGCTTCAGAGCTTACAGTAGGTGGGGAATTGCACACCAAGGTTATTGTGATCCTCTACTTAATGAAGACTTAATTTCAGCAGATATTGTCAGTTAGGAACTCTTGTCTTTAAGTCCTGTTGAGACCTCTTTGCTGTCTTTGATTTACTGGGATTTCTGAAACCTACAGTATAGTGACATTTAAATGACACCTTTCTCCAAGGAACCATGGCAGATTTTAGTTATGTTCATGAGCTTATGCTTGCCTAATGATCACCTAATGCCACAAGCTTTATTTTGTGTTTGCTTTATCTTTCTTTAAAAAACCCTCTCATGCATATTTCACGTAAATTAAAGAGGTGTGTGTTTATTATTTAAAAGGCATTTTTTAAAATTATTATAGAGGCATTTTATTATAATTTAGAATACTTTGGTAATTATTATTTAGGATAGTGTTTGCTCCTGTTATATTATATACTAATCAAAGTTAAACCTCTACCGACTAGAAGAATGAAGAGCAATTCCTCTTCGAAAAGTCTGTGAATCTCTGCTACTTAATCCCATGCACATGAGTGACCAGACTTTTCCTGTCATGGATAAGCAGGAACAATGGTCAACTATCCAGCACATAAATCAGTACTTACTGCAAAAAACCACACTAAGTAATACTTTTGGCCTATGAATTATTTTCGTGTCCCTCTTTCTCTTCCAAAGCTCATCAAGAATATGACTTCAAGTTCTTATGCCTTTGACCTCCGTGAGAAGATCACAGATGACACCACACACCACATGAACTATTACGAGCCAGAGTTTTACATTCCTGATGACCACGGGACCTCTCACCTCTCGGTGATCGCAGAAGATGGAAGCGCTGTGGCCGCCACCAGCACCATCAACCTATTGTATGACCTCCTAACTGACCTTTACAAATCTCTTGTCCACCAATGTTGGTTTATGTGTCATGTTCCTTTAACAGTTAATGTTTTCATGCAGTTTCGGCTCCAAGGTAATGTCAAGATCAACAGGGATACTTCTCAACAATGAGATGGACGACTTCAGCTCTCCGCTCATCACAAACGGCTTCGGAGTACCTCCTTCACCGAACAACTTCATCAGACCAGGTCAGAATAAAACACACACACTCACACAGAAATGCTCTTAAACCAGTAGAGTTTTAATATACATAGACTGGCTGTTGGACAGTAGCGTACACAGAGGTCGATCTGTTCTTCTCGACACTGTGCATTATGTTTTTAAATAATGTTTGTCTTTGGATTAATACAAAAGAAATGTGGATCAAATGTTTCCACCCCTCTCTGGAAGGTCTTATCTTTTATTATTTTAGTATATTCAATCCAAGTATATCTTTATGGGTTTCAAGTTTATTAATCTGGAATACAATGTGGAATAGATTCAAAACATACAACATACAACTTGTTTTTAAATAGATATTTTATGTAGTTACATACACATTATTTTAATAATGTTTAACATAAACCAATAAAATACTTAAACTTATATATAATGTAATTTATTTTTAAAGGAAAAAGGCCAATGTCTTCCATGTGTCCGACTATCCTCTTTGACAAAAACAACAAAGTTAAGATGGTGGTCGGAGGCTCAGGAGGAACGAAAATCACAACTTCTGTCGTTCAGGTAAAATTGCAAGAAGTTAAATCAATGAGTTGCATTAATTCAACTATTTAATTACTCTGTTGGGTTATAATTGTCTAAAAATCTTTGTTGTTTTGAAGGTGATTCTAAATGCACTGTTCTTTGACTATGATCTGAAAAAAGCTGTGTCGGGGCCGAGGCTCCACAACCAGCTGGATCCCAACGCCACTGAAGCAGAACCAGACTTTGACAAAGTGAGTGTCGCAAAAACAACACTGACGTATGTGAGTGTGTGGGGAGACAATCCCTCACACAAAAGCCCAGCTAACATACAGTAAAGCCCTTCTAACTTCTTACCCAAGAATTTCTTCATTATTTCTACCTTCAGGGGTGTGAAGAATGGAGACAAATATTTCAGCAATTTGTGGTGGTAACGGGCTATTTGTGGTCTGTCTAAAAATAGGCAAATCCTCCTATATACCGTGTATGGTTGCTGTAAAACTTGCTCATCTCAATGTAATGTATTTTAAATGTACCATTAAAGGTAATTAATGGAAAGATATTAACTAGAAAACTAACCCTTTATTTGATGTTTTTACTGGGATGTAAAATATGTAAACACTTAATTACGCATGATTTTGAAATCTTATCAATTGTGTCGGGCAGCACATCACACTTCAGTGTTTTCTGTGATTACTGGCTTAATTGAAGATTTATTTTCACAGACGTTACTCAACATGATTTCTTAAAATGGGCATCATTCCCAATTTATGCGCTAAAAAGATCTAACTTGAACATCGTGCCACATTTATTTTTCTTTCATATTTGCTCCTGTTTGCAGAACGTCCTGGAAGGTTTGGCATTGAAGAACCACGAGATAAAGTACCTGAAATCGACAATAGCTGTGGTGCAGGCGGTGGGTCGCTATGAAGACGGACTCCACGCTCATTCAGATTCTCGCAAGTGGGCGTACGCCGCCGGGTACTGAGGTCATGAACTCACCACTGATTATGCACGGAGCCTGTAGCGGCATAAGCTTTGACACCAGTGCTACGAGCTGAGAGATTAGAGACTTAATAAAGAACAAGGAAACAACGTTGACACCAATTGTTCTTTCATTAACATAGAACATGCTTCATGACACAACTCAGATAACAACACAGTGACTTTTGCTCTCTATGACCTTGAAACAAAGCGCCTCAGTCTGAAATTAATTCTGAATATTTAGTCTAATGTCCGACGCATTTATATGCAGCATCATTTCAAGTGATTAAGAAATGCACAAGCCATTAGAAGTTCAACCATCAGCAGGTTTTTTTTAACAGCCTCAGTCACACATGTTTCCAACCCCTACCTGTTTATGAAGCACTTTGTAAATCATTAGCAGTGTTCAGCTGTTCATTTTGTTTTCCTTTAAAGATATGATTTGTGACGTCAATGGTTATTGCTAAAAATTAAACTCAAGCAAACAGAATAAACAAAAACAAAAGGAAAAACCTCAAATAATCATCTTTTAATCTTTTAAAACGTTAACATATTTCACCAGGATGTTTCATAGGTGACAGCAGACAAAGGGAGGACAGGCATAACCCATTTAAAAATAAAATACTATAAAACCTCAGGGACAAACCGTCCTAATGACTTACAGTAATGTCCCATAGCCCAGAGTGCAATGGCCTGTAATGACCCCATAACAATATTACAGCTGTCGCTGCTCACTGTCAGCGCTGGGATTCAGGGCTCTTCTTCTCTCAGCGGCAGTGTAAAATTAATGTGTTACATAATTATTCAAATGTAAAAAGAATGTAAAATGATACTGCCTTTATCAAAGTTTTGCTTGAAATGTCTGATCTACCTGTGATAGAAACTGTGATAACACAAAGAGGTTTAACATTCACAACACATATTTATTTAACTTACAATCTCAATGTTAGTAGATCACAATAGATTTTATTGTTTTTCTCAAATTGATTGAAGAGATATTGTCGATTATTTTGTTTTCCTTCAAATTAAACACTTGAAATGAACATACTGTGATGAATAAAAACAAACTGTTTATAAAAGTATTTCTGGTGTCAGGCTTGAATCTTTAGTCAGGTGATCCTCACATATATATAGTACCTAAGGTTGTCATTAACAAGACTGAAGGGGCTTTCACACAGTAGCTGGGATATTTTAGTCTAAACCAAAGTGGAGCAGAACCAAGAGAACAATTGTGTCATCCCTAGAGCCATAGCTAACAAACAGTGTAAGGAGAGAGGGGGGATAAAGTACAATGAATGTCCCCAGCCAGACTTATATTGGGTACATCAATATTAAAGGGGCCCTATTCTGCTCATTCTCAGGTTCATATTTTTATTGTGTGTCTCTACTGTGACATGTTTAAATGCTTTAATGTCCAGAAAGTGCTTTTTTTTCTCATACTGCCTGTGCTGATGCAGACTCTGTGATTGGTCAACCGCTTAGTGATGTCCCGCCCCGTAGCCTATCTCGTACAATGTGTTGGAGCTGTAGCCAATAGAAGTGTTACATAGTGATGTCACTATGTTACGGAGGTAAACAAAGGAGACCAATGGAGGGGTTTCAGGCAGGGGGGGATTGTGTTGGGGAGAAACTCCCTCTGGAGGGAACACATGTTAGCCTTTGCAGACCATTTACATGCACAAAAACCTATATTTCAATCTGAGTTGTTTTGATGTAACGATAGTATTTATTGCCAAGAATACACAGATGAATGTAATGGTGTTTGGCGATTAGACCCGGTTGTGCGATAGTTTCATTCGGGAGGGGAAAAACAAGCCGATAAAAATCCCCCTCGGGTCCAGACACTGGTGGTGGTGGAGGCATGAAGGGAATGATGGAAGTCGGTCTGAAGGGGAGTGGTTAAAGCTTGACGTGAACCCTGGGGCTATGATTGGCTTGTGGGAATAAACACGAAAGTGATTGGGTTAGCTGGGGAGTGAACGCCCCTGATCGCTGATTGGGAGGAAAGGGAGCCAAACCATGCTAGTACTTTTTAAAATGCGTGACTTGCACCACCTGCTGAGGTTTCATTATTATTTAGGAGATGATAAATGCAGAAATGATCAAGTCACACAACCATTTTCCTTGAAGGCCCAATTAAGCATAATCTGACTCCCACATAGTCATAATGAACTTTGGAGTTATGCAACTCAGACAATTTACTTTCCCCTTGAGGCACTAAAAAGTTGGTGTTTCAATGTCTATGGTCTTAATTTAAACCACTGCCTTGCATGACACTTTCATGGCATCTAAAAGCATAAAATACCTCCTGAGAAAAATCTGCTACATCAAGGGACTGTGTGACTAAAAGTGTCAAAACAAGCCAGAGAGTCAACACCGGATTATATAACTGTTCAGGCTTTAAGTGAAAGATAATTTTGGCATAGTGTTGTTTAAATGAACGTTTTTCATACAAAGAGGGTCATTTCAAGAAGCGATGAAGTCACAACTTATCCACATTAACTCATTTGTCATACAACAAAGAAAGTGGGGCTTCACACAGACTCAAATTTGCATGTTCTCATAACTCACATCTAGTGCCTCAAAGGAAAACGGAGCAGAATCCACTTAAGAAATCATTACTAATTCATAGGTCTCTCTCCTGAAATGTATCTCATTACTGCTTCCTTTGTCTCACAGCTAAAGTGCTGCTCTGAAACAAGAAAAACAGGAAAACATGACGCAGATTATTGCTGATCATACTATACTCAGAATAAAGGATAAATGTAGGAATGAGCTCAAGCTGTGTCTTTGGTTGAAAAGCACATCTGGTGACAATCACTCGTCTTTGTTCAGATTTTTCTTTATTGTGAAATCACAAATATTCACAGATGATAATTGTAAAAAAGTGTGTTACTATTATACATAACATTTTCAGATATTAAAACACAGAAAATATCATGTTGTTGGTGAAAATAAAGTATTTTTCTTTAGATAATGTTAACTGTGAATCAACTTGACACATATATATATATATATATATATTTTTTTGTTTTTGTTGTTTAAAGGTAGGCTAGGTAAGTTTGAGAAATCGGCTCGAGATCGCTAGAATTTGAAAATACACAACCGGAGAAAATCTGCCACTTCCTTACAGAGCCCCTCCTCCAACACACGAACGCGCACATGACCAATGAGGGCACGAGATAAGTTTGTGCACAGCTGACAGGCAGGTAGGCCATCCAGTTATTTTAGCCGGGCCGGCTAAAATGATTGGTCGTGCTTAGTTTTTACAGTATTACGGCTTCCACAGATGACATTTCTTTATGGATTTTTTGTCAAAGCACTTAAGATATTCATTGCTATCGGGATGTTAAGAGCATTCCATGGAATATAACAAAAAGTGTATCTCGAGCCGGTTTCTCAAACTTACCTACCCTATTTAATGAAATTCTACAGTATTTTCTTCGTTTTAAAAAAAGGTCACAATATGCCCAGGAAATAATGTTGTATCACATACAGTCACATTTTTAAGGTCACAGTAAGTCAGAAGTCACTTAAAAAGGATTACATGGCTCAATAAAAAAATCCTACAAAGTTCAGTGAGGAAATAAAACATTCTCTGATAATTATGAAATTGGTTCTCTAAACATTTTTTTAAACACTTTTCTTTTGAACACAGTTGCCTTTATGGACTGATGCTGCAATATACTGTTTAATCCCACAGAGCTTTATAGCAGATCTCAGCAGTATATCAGCAGTTCATCAGAATCAGAAACAGGTTTATTACCAGGTAGGTTTACACGTACGAGGAATCATGGTGGATTGTGCCAGTCCACGTAATTTAAAGACGATATATTATGCTAATTGTCAGCGTGTGAGAGAGAAACTGGGACATTTGGAATTGTAGCCTTTGCAGACCATTTACATGAACACAAATCTATAACATACACCAGGAAAGGGATAAACCCGAGAAGCATAATAGGGCCTCTTTTAAGTAGTATGACAATGGCGACACCAGTGACATCATTAATAGTTTCTTGATTGATTGTGTAGGTCATCACTGAAGAGCACCAAGGGTTAAAGGGATCACATTTTGTTGAAGGCACATTTTTGTTTTTAAAGGAATACTTCACCTCTAAAATGCCCATTAACTCACCCTGTGTTACCTTGTACTGGCACAGTAAACAAGGCATTAGAAAAAGGAGTGATTGCGATAGATTGAGGTAAATGAGGCCCGGTTGCAGAACAGCAAAAATATTTCACCACATCTGCTTACAATCTTTCACACGTCTCATAATATTCTCAGAATCATGCATTTTCACATACTAGGAAATTGTAAGCATGCACTGCATATAAAGAAGTGTTTAACAATAAGGATTAATCATCCAATTGACTTCAAGTCATCAAAAGTTTTCTCCGTTTTTGGATTCTGTGAGAAAAGAAAAGTTTTCTTTAAGAATTCAACATAGTTTGAGTATTTTATACACAGATGGTCAATATTTTGGGGGTGAAGTATTCATTTTAAAGGTCCCCTATTATACTGTTTTTCATCAATATATTATAGGTCTCAGATATATACAAAACATGTCTCTGAAGTGTTTGGCTCGAAATACCAAACAGATCGTGCATTGTAGCATCCCATAAACCCCTCTGTTTCAGCCCTGTTTCAAAAGTGCTGATTCTCTGTCTGTTACTTTAGATGAAAATAAGGAGCCACTCCCCACGCCCCTCTGAGAGATATTTGGTTAAAAAGAACACAATGGTGCTCTAGGAGGAGATTCAGGTGATAAGGGGGGGGGGGGGGGTTACCTTGGTTGGTTATTGGCTAATGGTTACCAGTGTTGGGACTAACGCGTTACAAACTAACGCGTTACTGTAACGCAACTACCTTTTGCGGTAACTAATAATGTTACTAGTTACCTATTCCCATTCAGTAACGCCGTTATAGTTACTGTGATTTAAATGGGTGCGTTACTGCGTTACATTATGTGGTCCAACTGAACCGAATCTCCGTGCGGATGTAACTTACAGGCGAATACAGTGATGTCCTCTCACAGTACCATGGAAAAGTGAAAGTGACCAGAGAGGAGTGATGATTGGTTAAAGCGGGGTAACATTTCAGGGTAAGCCAATCAGAGACAGAGTTGGGCGGGTCTTGTCTTATGGGGAAAATACAGACACACAAACACTTGCTAACACACATACACGGCAACGCCCACCACCAGCACACACACACACAATGGCAGATGCAAGTATCAGCGAGAGCAGCAGCGAATTTACAACTTGGAGATATAACCACTATTTTCAATTTGTGGGGATAAAGGACGCAAAAAATATTACGGTCAAATGTAAACTGTGTGCAGGACAGAAAGCATTGTCCACATCGAATAACAGCAATGCCAATCTCCTGAAGCACCTAACTAATGTACATGGGGCTATAAAACTAGTCGCCAAAGACCCCACCGTCTCAACCACCGGCAGTGACCCAGATGGAGCAACACCATCTAAACAGCCAAAAAACGTTTTTTTTTAAATCGCCACATGTCACCCAGAGTCAACTAAACAGATTGATTGCCAGGTATGTTGTTGAGGACATGCTGCCCATCGCAACGGTCGAGTCTGTTGCATTCAGAGAACTAGTCAGCAAAATACCAGTGAAAGCAGTGAAAGCAGGGCCACAGTGCAGAAAGACCTTTTCCAACAACACAAAAACTTGTATTTTTATTGTTATTATTTTTAAAGTAAAGTAAAGTAACTTGTTACTAGTTACTTTTATAATTTAGTAACTAATAAAGTAACTAGTTACTTTTTTGAGAGCAGTAACTTTAACTATTACTAGTTACTTTTTAAAAGTAACTTGCCCAACACTGATGGTTACACAAGCCTCTCCACCTCTCCGCCTCTTCCAAGGAACGAGGGGACCGTGCGGCAGAGTTTCAGTTAGGTTTTTTTTCGCCGGTCAAGATGTCCGTTAAAGTTTAAATCTTCCGGACAAAATTAGAAAAGTGCCGGTCAAAGGTCTTCTTTGTTATTTATTGAGCTTTAAAACAAATGAATAACGACTCTATATAATAATATAATAAAACACGGAGGACGGAGATCTCCGCCCTCTTCTGACAGCTCAGCAGCTGATCAGAGCACGCTCCCCTCTCCTGCAGGGGGGCGTGGTCAGCTGCAGCTCACAGAATCAGCCCCCTGCAAAAACAGTGCTGGAAAGAGCAAATGGAGCGAAATGAGGCAGGATCTGTTTGGTATTTTGAAAAAAAAACTATATTTATATACTTTATATAGGTATGGCCCTACAATATATTGTTCAAATATAGCATGATAGGTGTCCTTTAAATGTTTTCATAAAATATAACAAAATGAAAGACATTAAGAAAAAGGCATTTTAAACAGTCATTCAAAAGCAACACAATCTACCTGCATTGCAATTACTCTAAACGTGTAATAACGTGCTTTAACCAGTAGGTGGTTTGGGTTAAAAAGCTGTCAAGTTTACAGTGTTGCTGTTTCCGGTTTAGTTTACAACGGATATATTTTGTTATTGTTTTGATATTTGTAACACAAAAGCGATGTAAAAAAAACCACAGTAACACAGAAAAGATGGTCTTAACATGACCCAGCGGTCTAGTAGTTAATAAAAAACAATAATATCAAAACAAAATATTACTACTAACTTTATTGTGAAATTAAAACAGAACGGTAAAAGAATAGTTTCCGGTCTATTCTGAGTCCCGATCTCTGTAGATAAATAAAGAACTACGACAGATGTGTAATATTTAATGCAGCCGAACCATTTATTACAATGCATTGATGTGATGACTTTCAAAGAGTAAAGCAAGCACTGCTGAATAAAGTATGATTTTATCTTTTACGAAACGTTTTTTTTTCATATGGAATGCAGTTGGAGGTCAACCAATCACAGAGCTTGAGAACTAATCACGGGGTTTGTCAAACAAAGCACATGGTGTAGTCCTAAACGATAGCTGGGGATTCTGGGTAGTGTAGTGTCTTCTGCCATCCTAAACTCCGAAAAAATATTTGTTTCTCCGAATCGAATGGGAAAAATACAAAAGCATTGCACACAATTTAAACCAATCAATGTTGTGTAATTAACAAGGATAATCTGGTGTTTTTGAGTTGATGAGTAGTGCAGATATCACTGTAAAATCAATCGACAGTAAGGAGAATAGTTACTTCCGGGTGTAAAATCCTCCGTTATCCAATGGGAATGGACGCTCACATTGCCTTTAACAGCCGCCGACATAAACGGATGCGGTGCTTCCATGAGCGTCAAATACCGCCGCCGATGGGAATACATTGCAATCAGTTGAAAGGTCTTTGCGTCCGTTTATGAAGCTGAAGGAGCCTCGGCGCGTCCCAACTGCACGCCACGGGACCCTGACCAAGCGTCGCTCCTGGACGTTTAGGGAGTGAGAGTGTGTTGACTGCAAAGATTGAATAAAGAACCATGTAAGCACACAGATGAGGAAGTTGTTAACCAATTTGCAAACAGGTTAATCAAAATTACCAAGGCCACTGCTGAGGTTATCAAGCTTCCTCCCGATCCACCAATCACAAAAAGTCCTCCAGACTTTGAGTCATTGAGGAAGGAGGCTGTTCACCTGCAACAACAATCACACTCCATATCAGACTGAAAGGAGATTGAAATTGCAATCGAAAGTCCTCGTTTATGTGACTTTACCTGCCCTCACTGTATCTGCTCTGCGACAGAAGTCCAACAGCTCATTGTTCAGGATGATGCCTGTTCGCGGAGAGTAAACACCTCCTCCAAAACTGCAAAACAAAACACCGTAGACTTAGCAATTTGAAATAATATGAAGTAGATTAAGTAGAAATAACAGGCTTTGTGTTTACACTTGGTTTATGGTGCTGGTGGCAGAGACAGCCAGTCCTTCTTCATCCAGGACAGAAACGTGTGTCGTCCCGACAAACCCAAAAAACATTTTGACATCATAAAGTGGCCAAATCTCATCAGCTCATTTTCAGACAGGTTTTTATATAAATGGATCAGGACAAAAAGAGAGAGAATCTTTTTTCCTGAAACTTTCAGAATCTCTTAACGCAGAGGGGACACATGTTTATGTAGCAAAGACATTAAAAAGTGGATTTTGCATAACAGGGACCTTTAAAATGTATCTTACAGTGTACATAGAAACATAAATCATAGGGAGAAGAAAGCGGGTTTGACATACACCAGGCAGACACAAATCAACTATATAGAAAGTATCTTTATTTCTACAGTTTTGACATTTTCCTGCCAAGTGTTAGATGAGAAGATTGATACCTTTTACAGTTGAAAGTGGTGTCAATCTTCTCATTAAACTGTTAAAAAAGTGTATTTCCAAACTTTAACTCAAACCACTCAGGCTTTTTCTTTAAATCCTCACCCTAACCCCAAACCTCACAAATGGTTAATATTTCTACATAACTGTATTATTGGATGAAGAGTATTTCAATCAAATCAAAGAGGCACCAAAATCTGACAAGCAGTATATGTGTATTTAAAGTTCAATAAAATGAAGTGATTATTGTGACAGATAACTTCAGAATGGTCTATATAATGGTGTAAATATAGATGTATAGAGATGTGTATATAGATATACTAACTGTATCTATATATATATATATATATATATATATATATATATATATATATATATATATATATATATATATATGTGACAGAGAAAACCTCTTCATTATTGTCTTCTCCATTGCTGCACATTGGTTACTCAGTGTGCATGTTGCAGAGCGTAATTGATAAGAGTATTAGCTGATTCTTTGTTTACCAATGAATATGTAGAAGATCCCAAACTAATTAACTGAATGGCCCAGGAGGCAGATCTGCCATGGAGATACAGCGTGGGGGCAGTGTTATTGGCTACTCTCAGTGAGTGATGGAGAGCAGTGCTTCGTGAGTAGTTTAAATGCCGAGCTATTGAGAAAGTTGCTCTTGCTCACGACCAACAATTGTACATGTTGATCTTAAAATCGTGTTTCCTATTAGATGTGATGGACTGCTTTAACAAACAGAGACAGACACATGGAAGTCTTCAAGGAATGTGCATGAGTCATATCCCTCCTGCTTCACACAAACAGGAATATAATTTACAACTAAATTGAAATTCACCCCACCTATTGTATGCTCGGTTTATGGATTATCTGCAGAAGAATAGATACCTGCAAATCTGTCTTCAATTCAGACTCCTCAGCATTGATTCCTGCTTTAATCTGCACACTTGTGTGTAATTTATTCTACGGCAGCGTACAGATGGGCAGGGAGTTTGCATGACAGGGGGCCTGCTTGATGAGAACCGCTTTTGTCTGTACTTCAAAACTAGTCTTTGATCAATGCACAGCAACCAGAGGGAAGTGGAAAGCTCCAAAAACTATTTCTCTTTCCTCCTCTCTAGTTTGGATAAAGCTTCAGAAAGTGAGGATTAGACCTGGGAAGGTGTAACATTCGGAAAGGTAACAGATAGGACACAAATGAAATATATTAACTATAGTGGGGGGCTTTTTCATTATGTGTTCCCATCATACCATACAATAGGGGACAGATTAGAGATTTTCAACAATACCACAATACAGCATCAAGTGAGTTTTATAAAGCGCTTATTCCTATGTGGATTTATATATTTAAATTCCCTCTGATGTTTCCTTCACATATAGGAAACTGTGAAGAATGGCAGAAAAAGCTAAATATATATGTTATTGACTCAATATTTTTCTTTTGTAGCCTTAACCGTAAAAAAGGCAGCAAGAAAGTATTTAATTGGTAAGAAAAAATATTAAGATCTCAACGTTTGTCACAAAAAATTAAAGAAACCAAGGCCTTTTTTGGTTTTGGTGTCTTTAAAAAACATAATACACTCAGTGTTAGAGCTGATTTTATATTCAGAACATGAACTATCGCTGGCTATCCATTCCCTTTCAGACAAAACAGGTGGTTGATTTAAACCAAACACTCATACTGCTTCTTTCTCATCCCTTTTTGATAAAAAGAAGGTGACAGAGTTCAGGTCAGAAATTCTTCTTTACTGGGAATCATTGAAAGGAACTTGAAAAAAAGAAAATGATTACAGTACATGCCTGAAACTTTTAAACCATTAGCACTGACACCTGCAGATACACATGCTATAAAAAGTGGGACTTTCTCCAATATAGGAGCCATCACTTCAATCTGCTTTTGCTCGATAAATATAGCATGCAACATCATTGACAATAAATGTGAGATCAAATGAAATAAGGAACAACCTGGAATTCAATTACCAAATAAACTTTTAAATATAAAAAAAACGTGCAAAAATGTTTTTAATAGGCTATTTAACTTTTGGTCCGCGTGTTCACCACGCACACTTCATCAAACACACTTGCAGCTTCAAATAACCTCCTCAATAACATCTTAAATAATAAGTTTTCCTTAGAAATTAATCCAAAATAATGTAATCCCTTTACCTTCCTCAGCAGTTTGAGCACTTCGCCAGCTTGCTCCATCTTCTGCTCCCGGAGGAGTCTCTGGATCTCCCGGATCCACGCCACCCTCCTCACATACGGCAGTGGTTTGTTCTCCGCAGCTTGTCGGGCAGCTTGTCAGACTTCAGCATCAGGGAGGTAAACAAGAAGTCCCCGCTCCTCTCGCTCTCTCCCGGGCTGTCATTCCTCTGGCGTCTCCTCTTGGACACTTTTGTTTCAAAATCGAGACTTCTCTGTCTGGTCAACTTGGAGCCCATCACTCCTGAGAGGATGGTGTCGGAGGTGGTGTTGTTGAGAGGGATTTTACAACAAGCAGCCAAAACATCACACTTACTGTAACTTGCTCCACTTGGTGAAATTAAAGCAGAATCTTTATAATATCAACAACAACAACGTGTCTCGCCGTCCTCCCCCTGCTCGCATCCGTCCATGCACTGCCTGAGCACTCTGGTATCCTTTGCTTTACTCAGAGCTCCTGCGCTCCTCAGCCAATCACATCGAGGGTTTTTCTGCACAGAGAGTGAGAGTCGGAAACTGATCCCAGTTTAGTTTTCTTACTGGACCACAGGTCACAACGCACAGGTTGTTAGCTTGACTCAGAGTAAATCAGAGAGAGTGTTTAATCCCGTGGTATTATGGCCCATTTTAGAGTTTTATGTAACAATACATTAATCCAGTCATGTTAAAATGCCAGAGATGTAGCTGCTGAAGCTTGTTAGAAGTATTCGTTGTTCTCGCGCCCAGGAGAGAAGCTTAGAATGAAGAGACTAATGGAGTCTCCGGAAAGGTTCAAATTAGTTGAGTTTAATTAAATGGCGCGGTGATACAACAAGCCGAGGGTAAGAGGAGAGACAGAGCAGAGGCCTGTACTACGAAGCCGGATTTTCGCTTAGCCGGCTGACTTCAGGGAAAACTCGGGCTTTCCGGTCCTACGACGCTGGTTCTCTTTTTAGTGGGCTAGATCTCCATGGTAACTTATGCTGAGCGGCTAACCTCCTCGGGAGGAGGTTAGGTTGCAGGCTAAGAGATCAACTCAGTGAAAGCACCGCCTGCTGACCAATCAGAGCTCCGTGTGCGGAGTTTAAAGCTATCAAGTCATATTACAGGATAGAGGAAATACAGAAAAACTGCCGTTGCAGGAAAGACGGCCGGCAAAAATCAACTGACTGTGTGAACGTGAAAATTAATAGAATATCCCCTCCCATCTTCAGAGCAATCTGACTATTATAACATTAGCGTTAAGAAAGCCTACTTAAATATCTGCCACAACATAAGTAACCGGATCAGAGTAACATTAAGTACAGTCCGCGGCACTGTGAGTGCAAACGTCGATGTGTCCCATTATCATTCATATCATATCACATCATAATGTATCATATATTTCCTTATTTGAGTCAGCTTCTTGAGCCGTATCTGGCCGTGCAACACTCACAGTGTCACATACTGTATGCAGAAGTATTATTTTAAGCAACACATTAAGTTGACAAAACACTCGAGTCAAATGTAATTAAAGTCAGATCCACTCGTGTCTTAGACGGGGCAGTGATATCATAAATCTGTTAATGTACGCATTCAAACACTTTTTATGTTACCAGCTGTATTCACCTTGCAGGTGCAGCTATATGGCTTTTATCCTGGATAAAGTGTTTAAGTCATGGATGTTTAAAGTTTAACTTCTTCATATTTGACTAATATTAAAGTTCACTTTTCATTCAGGAAGTATGACGCTGCGCTGTCAGTACGCTTGTCCATGTTTGAGATTGGTCGAATGCTCCAAATACCACCCCTTTCATGTGAACGTGCACCTAACTAGATAGGACACGGCTGGCTTGAGCGATCCACTTGATATCCAGCGTCGTAGTACAGTTTAGCGAGAGCGCGTATGTTTTGGATTGGGCCAACCGGCTAACTCAAACATATCCAGGTTAGGAAAATCCGGCTTCGTAGTACAGGCCTCAGCTGTTGCCTCGCCGGGTTGAAGAAAGGGGCGGAGACAATCCTGGTCAGCTGGTTATATCCCCCCCGTAGGCTCCTCCTCGAGGGCAGGTTCGCGTTGCTGGGGGTCGTCTTCAATGTCCGTTATTGCGCATAACAGAGGATTCAGACGTTGTACATTCATTGCATAACTCCACACACCTCTTCTCCTCATACTCTCTTTCATGACTTTTTATTTAATGCATTATAACGGCTGTAAATAGACACTTTAGTAATACCAGAAGTGCTTTTCAGCAGTTCTCATTTACGGCAGTTCTCATTTACTGTAGTCCCGGACGTCGTCATTGTCACTACCCGATCCGTTCACCTGCCCGATCGGTACTGCGCATGTGCGAGATGGTCCGCCATATTGGACAACTACATACGGCAACTCTAATAGGACATTTGACACAGTGGCTTTTGGCAAAGCAGAAAAAGAACTGATAGAGATGAGTTATTGTTATTACAACGTGACTTCA